TCTCTGTGAACATGTATGAATAACCAATTTGATTGTCTGTGACCTCATGTGACTGTTGCTCAGAAACACTTTCTTGGTTAAAATTTATAATTGTGCAGTCTCAATAAGTTGATCAAAAACTATATCATGCCCTTGTAAGTAATCACAGCGACTCCGGAAGCTGAGGCAGGAGGATGGTGAGTTCAAAGCCAGCCTCAGCAAGTTAGTAAGGCCCTAAGCAACTCAGTGAGACCCTGTGTCTACTAAAAATGTAAAAACGGGCTGGGGATGTTGCTAAGAGGTTAAGCATCGCTGGGTTCAATTCCCAGCACCCAAACCAAAAACCTATCATGTTCTTAAGAGTAGGAAGAGTGAACATATATAATTCTTAAGTTTCTCTTTTAAATATTTATACATGAAACTCCATTTTCATAAAGGGTATTACATATGAGAATATCCTCAAGTAGTGGCCTGTGGGTTACAGTTTCTTGAAATAAGCATTGCATTTAAAGACCAATGAAGTAACGACACATGCTTTCTTGAGGGACGCGGCATGGCGTGGTTTTAAAAGCAAGAAAATAAAATCTAAAAATAGGAACATCTAAATATGGGATCATCACTGATGCCCATTAAAGAAAACAGCACTTCCCGTTTTCCCACTTATCACCTAAAGTCACTGAAGGGCTTTGGAGAAGTGAAGTTGCTGTGGCAGCTGGTTTATTTTGGGGTCACTTATTTTCCCATGGAGTCAGCAGAGTTCCGAGTCGTCTGTGCCTGGGTGCGGAGAAGTGACAGCCGCCCTGCTGGTTCACACATGAGGACTGGCCTGGCCAGAATCAGTCTGACCTGTCAGATAAGAGGCTGTGGTTTGGCCCATTTCCTGTGTGGGGAACTTCTGCTCCTTGGAGGTGATGGAGGCACAGAGAGATCCTCCTCTTGCTGGGGGACAGACACTACCCCATATGCTATTGATAAGACCCTGCTGCCAGTCATAACCCACATAGGAGGAGGGGCACTTTGGCTCACCTGGCCGGCCTCTGAACCCCAGGAGGAGGTGCCTGTCCAGGAAGGGCGTGGCCTGTGGCTGGCCCTGCCACTGTTGATGCAGCAGATGAGGACCACCTCCTACATTCTCAACTCCCTGCCTGTGTGTGTCACTGGCTAAGGTGACATTCTCCCTCTCTCTCTTAAAATCAAATTATTTATTAATTTTTGGTGCTGGGGATTCAACCCAGGACCTCACACATGCTCTGCCACTGAGCTTCCTCAACCTGTCCTTCAGTTCTATTTTTGAGTACATTTGTATTACTCTGGAGGGAGCTGATAACACAATCAGGGAGAATGTTTGTAATGTGACGATGTTGGTGGGTTTGCACAGCATAAGGTGTGATGCCTCAAATACCTCACTAGCAGGTGTGAAGTTCTCTCGAGGCCTCGCCTCCCTGTTCCTTGCACAGGGTGAGGCAGAGGTGCTATTTTCTGTCCTGCACACTTCAGGAAGCCTGGGCCCAAGGAAAGTCAAGTGACCTGCTCAAGACCATCTAAGAAATCTGGCAGGATTCGCTCAGGGCCCAGCTCTTGGGACCTTGCTTCTCCTTTCACTTAGTAAAAAGAGCAAGAAAAGAAAAAAGCCAGGTGTGGTGGCAAACATCTGTAATCCCAGCTGCGTGGGAGGTTGAGGCAGGAGGATCTCGAGTTTGAGGCCAGCCTCCGCAATTTAGCGATATCTTGTCTCAGACTACACAAAAAATAAAAAGGACTGGGGATGGAGCTCAGTGGCTTCAATTTTTAGTACCCAATAAACAAATAAAAGAAAGAGAAAAAAGAAGGAAAGAAGAAGGGAAAGATTCTCCGCCTGAGTCCCAACCTATAGGAATACGTGTAGTGTTTCTGACATTTATGCCCTTGTCCCCTTGACCTCACAGCCCCAGACCTGGCTCAGCTGAAGACAATGACCCCACTTGGTATTTCCTGTATTTTTTCCCATTTCTTTTTTGCCCGTAAGAGCCACTCACAAAAGTAATTTGAGTTTATACAACATTGAATGTAAAAGGCTGTTTTCAATTTATGCCCAAGAGTTGCCAATAACCATGAGCCAGGGAGCAGGGGAGAAGGTGTGGAGAGAGAGCTCCTACGGGAAACCCTGAGCCTGGCCCCTGCAGGACTGTTCCACCCACCACAGGCATCCTGCCCGAATCTGATAGGACAAAGTGACAGTCTACCTAGTCCCAGGTGGCCACTCTCCCGCCTGCCCCAACTGGTTTCTTGCATAGGAGCAGAAGAAAAGGCTCCTATGCAACTTCACCTTTTTACTCAGTAAGGCTGATTATCAAATGGCCTTAGCTGCATAATTAGATGCTAATGAAGCTGAGCAGGTTTTCGCAGGGGACCTCTCAATTCCAGAGAACCTTATGCATATTCAACCTTGGCTTATGAATATTCACCCCCTAAACAGCAGGTGCGTCTCTACCTTGGAGCTTGCTGGCACTCAGGTCCTGCTTTCACAGGAAACTTGTTCTGCCACCAAAACTGCTCATCCTGAAATTTTCTTCTGGGAGATTCAAGAAGAGGTCACCTCAGCTCTAGAGACCTCCTCAGACTCTTGACCCAGGACAAATGGATGGTTTGGAAGTTTCTGCTTTCCAATTTTTCAAGCACTCAAATGTGGCTCAGAACACGGTGGACCCAAAGTGTGCCAAGTCATGGGTGCCCAGTGTCCTCCTCCCTCAACACACCGCTTTCACCAATGCCCCAGTGCATGGCTGGGAGCTGGACGGAGTGAATCTCTGCCATGTTTGTGGATGTCTCTGTTCTGCTAGGGCAGAACTGGCCGAGGCCCCCAGGTCAGGTGGAAAACCAGAGTCAACTGTACAGGGTTTGGGGGAGTTGTAGGGGTGGCAGGACATTTGAGGAACTATTTATTAAATATTTTTATATTATAAAATTAAAATTAGGAATATAAAATACAAAGCATAATCCCTCTGATACTATATTTACACGAAACTTCCAAATAATTTTTTCCTCAAATTTTATTTAGCTGCTTCTGTAGCTCACAGATGTGGCCCTTCCTTTCTAGATCAAGTTTTTAAAAAATTTTTTTTAATATTTATTTTTTAGTT